GTGAGCTATGAATTTTTGAAATAGTGTTTCTATGAGACTTTGATACTACTAAAAAATTATGAATTATATTTTTGACTTGTTTCAATGAAACTCACTTCAGTTTCTAATTTAAACCTAATGAAGTATTTGAATAACTACAAATGTTCACTCAATAACTTCACAAATATATTTGGTAATTTGAAACTTTGGAGAAGATAATATCTGAAGAAGTTAAAAGAGTGAGAAGAAGTGGTAGCAAATGTTCAGTTAGTACCTTGAGAATTTAATTTGGTAATTTAAGAGTTTAGAGAAGTAAAGTTGTCCATAATTATAGATAATCTGATAATCTACTCCACATACCGCAAACGAAGAAAATGATCTCACGTTTAATTTCATTCATTCAAAGCCTTTTAACGAGCAAATACGATGAATGCATAGAACAATGAGTATGGAAACAAGGATTGCAAAAGTTGCATCTATGATTGGACGACTCAGGGGTCATTAACGCCCATACATCGAGATACGTGATACTCGAGTTAGCGGTCTAACAATAAGATCAGCAGTCGCATAATGCAATTATCGTTAATACTGCGTGTACGTTTGTGCTGGCTTGATCTCGTGTCATTTTGATTTTTTATTTTTTAGATACAATTTGAGGCTCATTGTTTGATGTGACAATTGGATATTTGAATCGAATTGATCTAGATGTGTTTCTTCACTTTTTTTGAATATTAAGATTAGAAAAATTATTTCATTTTTTGCAACTGGAAAATTGGTAGTTTCTGCATTATTTCGCAAGTCACTTATTGCAAATATAATTTTTGCTGTTAGATATTGATAATTTCTGTAATATTTTTTTCGTTACTAAAAGTTAAGCTAATTTTTTTTAAGTTTTGTTTATTTGTTGCTGTCAGTGGATTTTATAACAAATATTGTAAACTTATATTTTTTAATACTTCAACTTAACCTAATCTAACCTTAACCTTAATGCGCACCAATAAAATAAAAATATTTCTCAAACTAATATCAATAATATTTAGAACACCCAATGACATAAAATATAATAAAACTCCAGTTTATTGTAATCTAAAGAATATTTCACTATTTCTTTATGGAACCTTTTATGAATCCCAGGCAAGTTTATTACAGCGAACATATAAAACTATCTTTACGATAGGTATTTTTACCTGATACTCAGGTAGCTACGTTTTCGAAAACAATACAAATCACAATGGTTTATCGGTGCAACGAAGAACATATTTACCGAACCATGCGACTAGTGTGTACATTTTTATCCGTGTTATGGTTTCAGCATTCCTTTATTGTTTTACCAAATCCATTTCGTATAAACACGTGTTTCAAATGACAGAATAGGATTTTTCTTCTTCACGCTTGATTTAAATGGAAAAAGACTCAGTTCTAGTTGGAAGGATTTTATTCTTTCAAATTATTAAACATTTTAAATTATGCAGAAAAGAAGGAAGTTTAATAATTTTTGTGAACTAACAAATTGACTAAGTTATGTGTCTTGAATATCAGAACATTTTACTTCTTTAAATTATTAAATATTTATCTTAAATTATATTTAAAAATTTGAAGTATTTTTACAAACTAAACTTCTGTCTCAAAATATCAAAAACATCAGAACATTTTATTTTTGTAAATTATTAAATATTTACCTTAAATTATATTAAAAGAGTTGAAGTATTTTTGCAAACTAAACTTGTCTCCACATATCAAAAAAGATCAAAGACCTTTCTTTTTTTAAATTGCCTAACATCCATCTTAAATTACATACAAAAGTTTGAAGTATTCTATTTTCACAAACTGAACTTGTATTTCAAAATATCAAAAACAATCAAATCATTTTATTTTTTCAATTTATTAAGCTTGCACTTGTTATCATTTTTAAACTTATCAACTTACGCCGACAATGTTCGGTAAAAATATTGTATTCATTTTAATAGTTAAATATATTTGTTTGTCGAGAGTTATATATAAAAGCAAATAAAAATGATGAAAAATAATAATTCGCGACTAAACAGCAGAAAATTAATTTTATCTAAAAATAGATAAAATTGTGTGCAGTAAGGATGGAAATTTTCGAAATGATTAAACACCGGTTGGTAGCATTATCGGTGGGATAATTCATATGGGTAATTCCCGAGACGAGTGGCCAATAATTCAAGTTTGTTTCTTGAATCCTTGTATTCATACCACGAAAAAGTATTTGCCTATGATTTACAGCCGGTTACCGCGATTACGAATGACCGGGAATATATTAAATGCATCTTCTGGTTACAAGACACTCGCATTTACATAATTTATACCGCGTATCGGGTTTATTTGCCAAATCAACGACCTCTAAGTACCCGCTGCACCGTTTGTGTACCTTTCAACGAGGATAACTAAGCGTAATTGTTAAATGCATTTGCATGCACCGAACAAGCGAATTCCGTTCGATTACCCTTTGAAATCTAGAACAAGGTACTATTGTTCCTGTTGGAATTCTACAAAAATTATCTCACAAAAATTCGATGAGGAGGTTATAATAAATTTATGATAACAGGTTAGGAAATAGAGATTAGGTTAGGTAATACAGGTTGCGATTTTAATTAAATATTTTCTGGAAAATTTTTATACGTTCTATAAATTATTATAGAACTTTTAGTACACTAAGAAATTTTTAACAAAGCTTACAAATTTTTAGTTAAAGAGCTTCAAATGTTCAGATTTGACCGAGAAATTTTCTTTGCTAAAATTAAATGTTCTACGAATATAAAATATCTTTCTACAAATAATATTTAAAAAAGTATGCTATCCACTAAAATTCAAAATAAAATTTCACCTAAATAAATATTTTAAAAACTTCAGGGTATCAAACACCTTAAAGTATCCTCGTAACTCAAACGTTGCAAAATTCGAAAATTAATATAATATCGTACTTACAGTCTTTTCTACACTCATTGTGTTCATCTCTCACAAATATCTCTAAAACACAATTTCGAAAAACTACCGAAAACGCTTAGCAACGACTGCCTTGAACTAGCAACTGCTATCGAATTAAACGAACTGCTATCGAAACGGTTTCATGTACTCAAAATTTTGTTCGAACAAATTCAAGGGCAAACATTTCAAGGTTTAATTTCGCGTGTAAACAGTGTTGAACTCCATTCGTGAAAATCGCGATTCTCATGGAACGAAACCGCGATTCGACCAAAACAAAACGTTCTCGTGTGACACAGAGAATGTTGCAGTAATGGTGAATCGAGAAAATCGTGAAACGTTTCGCGAATGTTTCGCTAATTGGTTTCGAGTCGACAAAGGAACCGCGGTTGCCACGCGAAGATTCTTCGTGCATTTGTACACAATGGGGCTTGAAACAAATTCTTCTGTATACAAAAATTATTATTTTTAATTCCGTATTATAGAAATTAGTTTAGCTTAGTGGTTCTTCGTGGAAGATGGCGTTTGATAGGGGCTCATTTAGAAATATGTATATTACAGAAATTAATTATGAAATGGACTTTGAAAGAAAATAGAAAAAATAGAAAATTATACAAAAATTATTATTTTTAATTCCATATTATAGAAATTAGTTTAGTGGTTCTTCGCGGAAGATGGCGTTTGATGGGCGCTCATTTAGAAATATATTACAGAAATTAATTTTGAAATGGACATTGAAAGAAAATAGTAAAGAAGTATCTTTTAACAGTGTCTGTAAAATTATATATCTATATCTGTGTAATTTTTTATTGTTACAGGAGGAACTTTATGACGGCACTAAAAAGTCTAATTTAGCAAATGAGTTCTTTGTGAATTCTTCATGTATGAACGCGAGGCGAATTCTCAAACGATGAAATAGTATTCATAAATTTATTTACATAAATGAGGTTTTGATTCGAGCTGGAATTATGTTAAATATTTTAATATATAGATGCAGGAACGAAAATAGTGGTGAACGTTTTACTTGGAAACTTAAAATGTGAAGGGTGGAAAAATTGTCGAAATATTAAAATGTTTCGAATGACGTTTGAATGAAATTTGTATAAATACAATTTCAAATAAACGAACGTGGTATAAATACAATTTGAAAGAACTGAAATTTGTATAAATTCAATTTCACATGCATAAAATAAAATTTATATGAATGCAACGTATAATGAAACTTGTACAAATTTATATTTTATTCAAAACACAATTTGAATAAATCCAACTGCACATAAAATTAAATTTACATAAATGCCAGATTATGTAAAATGAAGCTTGCATAAATGCAATTTCGTTGAAAATAAAACTTGAATAAATTTTACTTTGTAAATCTCAAACTATACAAAATAAAATCTCTTTAAACCCCAAACCACCCAAGACAAAATTTGTATAAATCCCAACTTACACAAAATAAAATTTCTCTAAACCCCAAACCACCTAAGATAAAATTTGTATAAATCCCATCCTACATAAAATAAAATTTCTCCAAATCCCAAACCACACAAAATAAAATTTCTCCAAATCCCAAACTACCCAAAATAAAATTTTCATAAATCCCAAATTACACGAGGCAAAATTTCTCTAAATCACAAACTACACAAAATAAAATTTCTCCAAATCCCAACCCACGCAAAATAAAATTTCTCCAAATTCCAAACCACACAAAATAAAATTTCCATAAATCCTAAACTACCCAAGACAAAATTTCTCCAAATTCCAACCCACACAAACCAAAATTTCTCTAAACACCCTACAAATTAATACAAATTGAAATTAATACAAATCCCAAACCCCACATTTTCCCAAAATCCAAAATTCTAAAAAATAAAATTTGCATAAACCCACTATGCAAACGAAACCCAGTATCACGAAACTTCACCCGAACCAAAACTCCTCCAACATCATCATAAAAACCTCGAACAAATCCAGTATCGATAAACGTCTAAAATAAAACGTAATCTTCTCAAAATGCATATAAAATAAAATCGTACAAGTAATTTAAAAAAAAAAATAACGAAATAGGAGCTCACCTCCGACTAGATGTCTCACGAGTCAACGCATAATAGCGTATTAAAAAGTTCGTTCGCGATTCCGCGTGCACATTAAAGAAACATCACTCGAGGAATAGTATTGCGATAAACAATAGCACTTTTATAAATTTGAGGCCGATTCACGCGTTGCAATGACGTATCGTGGAACGATCGGATCGTTGGAGCGATCACGGGCACGACTCTGTCGAAACTGGCGAGCGGATACTGAAACTCGCAGCTCCAGGGTAAGGTTGCCTACGCGGTGATGCACGTGGGTTAAGGAGAGGGGAATGGCAACAACGAGGAGGAATATCGAGAGCCCGTAGGTAGTAAGGTATTCGCGAATAGCATTTCCCTGGACGGGAAACAGGGTGGTGTAAATCATTCGCACCCTCCGCGAGGTATCCGTCTTCCTTTTTCCTCTCCTTCCAACGAATACTTTCCACTTTAACGATCTATGGTATTTCCTGCGCTATGGACTTCATTTTTCATTATGCCATGCCTGGATTTGATTAGAATTAAAAATTGTAGACGCTACGAAGACAACCCTTTAGAAACTCTTCGCTGTGGATTTTCTTTGATCTTTATACAATTTTTCAATTATACAGGAATAATAATTTTTTAGTTATACAGGAACACAGTTAATCAATTTTTATTTTTTGGAAATTTCATTTATGGGGTTTATGAATTTTTATTGTTGAAGATATGAATTTTCATGTTTCTTGAATTTCTGAATCAATTTTTTGATGTTCTGAATTTTTAATTTCTGAATTAAACAGTTAGCAATATATAGTGTTATACATATGAAAATTTTCTGTTATACGAAAATATGAATATTTGAAAATTTTCTGTCTCCAGATTTATCTGTTGGGAATCTCAAAATTGCAGATTTGAAAATTGAACTTTGATCAACAATATATTATACAAATATATTTAAATAATTTCAAGACTAGACCATTTCCTATAATTTAATATTTTTGCATTTGCTAAGAGGAAACGAAATGTGATAAAATGAAGAGGAAACAGAAGAAAATCTATTGCAGGAAGAATAGATGATTAGGAAGCGCCAGTTATCAAGCATCCTGTTTCGTAAAAGTGAATTCAATAGAAATTAATCATATTCGTTAGATAAATTACGTCACAATTTCTTCGAAAACCGGAAAAACATCAATCAAACGATGTCGTCAAACATCGAGATTCAATTTAATCTTAAAGTTAGTATAATGCAGTGAGTTTCATCACAAAAATATTTTAATTAATATTCATGATATCAAGTATCACCAACTCTTCTGCTACCATAAGATTTTATTTATTTGGTTATTAAACCAAAATGACAGAGAGTTTAATTATTTATTTCTTAATTATAGAAACTGTTTAATTTTCCTGAAACTAAAATTGCTAACTGAAAGGATTTGTCAAAGTTTCATCTGAAAAATCGTCACCTTTTTCCGCTTCACGCCTTAACCAAAATTTCACGCTCGTTTTCAAGCTCTCGACTCGAAAAGTCGTCGATTCATGTAAACATCGTCTCGAAGCATAATCGAACGCGCGAAATAGATTATATTTCGATCGTGTAACTCGATTCGACCTGTTTCCGAAGCGGCTTTCAACGAGCCTATTGGCTGCACCCTGACTTCGAAAAGAAGCTGAAATAAACGTAAAGAAGAAGCAGAGGGGAACAGGTTCTAGATTCATTCACATCTCGTGTCGAGACCTTGAAGAGCCTATGGTAAAAAAAGCATCCTGTGCCGTTCCTTACCCATAGACTCATCCTATATTCTGTTACGCGAATCGCTAAGATTCAACGAGACTGAGACACTTTCAGTTAAAAAGACAGTTTTCAGTTACAGACCAGCTAATATTTTTATTGGGAAAACTATTACTATGTATGGACTGATTTTTTAGGAGATGTGTGGATGGATTAGGAGTTTTGGACGAAAAGATCTATTGTCAGAAGATAAGGTATGTATTCACATACTTAATACTTTAATGGCCGCCTCAAATGTCGCCAGGGGTTGCGACATTTTCAAAGAAATATTTTTGAAGAATTAATTTTAAAAAACTTCATATAAATTCACACGTGTACAAACATACATATATAATATAACATTTAATACAACAAATTTAATATTTTCCTTTGTGCAATAAGTAAAGCAGCCTATGTTCATCAATCATCACACACATGTTATATGAGCGGTCATTAACAAGTATTAATATGGGTTGATACAGGTATGACTTTATGGAGGGAGAAATATATGACTGTTTCTATTGATTGGAACTTTGGGGTTGGCAAAAGATATTCTCGGTGCGTTGCCCATCGTTGGACCTTGGGACACGTCACAATTCCATCGGTACCTCTCAGCTATGAACCGTCGTAAATGTCCAGCGAGACAAACCAATAAACCTTCCTCACAAAAACCATCACAGATAAATAATATTTTTGGGATTTCCATTCTCCTTTTCGGTAGGATACAAGGCCAAAAAATACGGACTGTGATGTGTAATAACGAATTCAGTATGTACATTCATTAGAATTAATTAAAATATTAGAAATGTGTTAAAGACGATGACATAATCTTTGTGATTATATGTAATAATAAAATTATATTTTTCAATCTGGAATATTGTATTTTGTAATGGCTGAAAAGGGACTTTGGAAATTTGTAGACTTCAGAACCTAAACATAAATTTAAAAAATAAATAAATAAAAAAATTACCAATTAAAAACGATATAAAAGCAAATCAGTTCTCACTAGATCCTAAATGAAGTGGTGTCTATTTTAGACCAGACCTTAAAGACATCTCTATCCAACTATTATTACATCAATCATACACGTGTTAGTACAAAAAAATCTGATCAAATCTCACCTACCAACAAAAAAATAATCCATCATATCACAACCCACGAAGTACCAGAAAAAGAAATCGATCGATTTGTCCTCGATAAAGAACGAAGTTAATCCTAACAACCTGTTGAGCGTCGGATTATACGAACCTCCCCAAAATTGGATATCAGAGATAAATAATCAGCCATCGTGTCAGCCTTCGCGCATGAAAATCGAAACGATTGCAAAATTCGCGTCGCGTACCACGCAACTCTCGCGAAACATTCGCGAATCGAAGGAAAGTAAATCCGGATCCCTGCCAATTTCTCGTTTATAACGTACGGCCCTGAGCACATACTACGCGTTATCTCGGGGCACTAATCTAAAATGTTTCAACGTGGGTTGCGTGGGTATGGACGAACATCGCCGCTTTAGAAACACCTCGTGTGCCTACGCCTTTCACACATGTGGTCAGGCATGAGGAATCAAAGGATCCCAGGTGATTTTGACGCTCGCACATTTGCGTAACGCGTTTAATCTACCTGTACTGTTATCTGGAAATCAATTATACTCTACGTTCTTGAATGTTGAAATCTCATGATTTACGGTTTGGGACATTAGGGAATGTGTAGATTTCAGGTGGGTGCAGTTAACTTGGATTAAAAATTTACACATTTGACTTAGAGTTAGAAGTTCACACGTAACCCAAATTAAGATTCTGAGTATAGGTATCAAAACTACATAGATTTAACTCAAATATAACTCCTAAATGTAACTGAACTTCATCAAATCTAGAAAACCTTAGGTTTAATTGAAATGAAATCAAAACTTAATTTTTTCATTAAACCACAAAATGTTGAGCTCAAAAATTCTCTACGTCGAACGAATTCTCCACCTTGAAATTTATTAAAACGACGTGTAAATGGTTCAAAAGAAGCAACTCGAATTATGCAGATCAAACAATCTAGCAAAAAGCCTGAAGTTCTCTGCCATTAGCTAATGAGAAATTTACTTGTAACGTTTACTCTAACAGCCACCGTGCTATCCCTTAATTGCCCTCGGAATGACAGACCCAATTAGTTAGATCGTTTATTAATTTAGAATCATGCTAGAAGGATCGAGTCACGATGTTCCTTTCACTCGAACCAGGTCCTTATTATACACCGACTACTGGATACTCAATGTCAATGGCTACTAAATTTATTCTAATTTATTCGGCCACGATACGAGAATCGTGACTTACCGTGCACCACGACTTTCCTCATCTTTGTTGTAGAAATGTCGACGAAATAGTGGACGGAATTTTCGAAACGCTCAAGGTCGATCGTGCCACCCACAAGACTTTGCGAAATCGTTTTTCACCTCCCTCAACCGATGAATATTTAATTTTTATTTAAATTTGCGTAACAAAAGAACTTCAAATATTTCATCGATGAATTTTGTATATTGTAAATTGTAAATTTTGTGAAAATGGTTCCATCACAAGAATTTTTAATTCTACCCTTTCTGAATACGATAAGTGAATTCACAAAGATGCATAATTTTTACGTAATGGTTCCTTATAGAAATAACGAGTCAATGCGCTAAAATTTAATTGCTGGGAGAAAGTATGTTTCAACGGTTATCGTTGACCCAGGAAACTCTTATCTGTCGATTGCTTCGAACGAATATATCAAATTTTCGCCAGTTAACAAGTCCGTTAAGTTCTCGTCGTTTATAAACAATAATTAACAGGTTAAAACTGAAAGGTGTCTAGCCAGGGGAACAGCAGAGGACAGGTGAGGAGTCTCATCAACCGCAATGTGTCCAACTGCCGTCTCTCGGTGTACACCTTTTGCTCAGTACGGTGCATTCGCGTTTCAGCTGGGTGAAAAACTCGAAATTAATTGTGGCAATAGGTGTCCTCAACCGGAAATAGGTTTGTGCCTACCGTCTCGTGTGAACCGACAGATTGCCCGGAACACGTTTACCGGTTAAAATTTCAAATTTTTGTCAAATTTACGACGGTTATTTTGAAATATTCCTATAGAACTTTATTAAATTTTGTGCTATGTTTCAAAGTATTTATTTTAACACTAAACTATCAAACCGGTCAAATGACCGTTCCATAAGTTTCTCATTATAAAATACATACTTTGTTAAACTATATTTCTTGAAATCAGCATTGACTTTCATCAAGATAAAGAATAAATGTGTGTACTAATTTATGTTTCATTTATTTATTTTTTAACTTCAATATGTCGTGTTGAACAAAATAAACATGAGAATTTTACAAAATTCAGAAGTCTGTAATTCGAAAGTACCATATTAGCAACGTTGCTCGAAGCGAATTTCGGCGTTTAAAAATTGTTCTGAAAAAGGAG